AACCTGGTCCTCGACCGTTCTAGCGTCAAGATCTCGCTGAGGGCCGTTATCAGCGTTCAAACCCCTCCGTTCTGTCGTGTTAGCAGAGTTTGCTGGTTGCACCATCTTTGCGTATGTTTCTTAGATCGGGATGACTTAGATCGTTTCTTCCCCACAGACGGCGCCAAATGTTTATGCAAGGGTTTGCACAACGCTTCTTCACGAATCGAGCTCGAACCCGGTCTCCGGTTCCGACATGAACACTCGGATGGACCTGCACAAGAGGGTAAGCACTCCGACGCTCAAGTCAGTATAGATCGGACTCCGTATTTAGTTCGAGGTGAAATTCCATACCTGAGCGTGAAATGAAGCCCTCTATTTATAGGTGATCGATCCGACAGTACACACGACCGGCGGTTATATGTCTTTTCTCATATCGGACCTGTCGTGTTCAGAGCAGGTCGGACCTCAGCCAGGTCGAACCTTGATTCCCATACTTAGTCTTTTATAATGGGCGAACGCGGTCTCCTCGGCAGGGCTGAGGTGGATGCCAAGGCAATCTCTTCTATTCAGTTTCTTCAAACACCAATAAGGTTCCTCCACGTGTCTCGGGTATGTTTACCCCCAAACAGAAGAGATTCCAAGTTTCTTAAATTGTTTCGAAATGTATTTTATGAGTATAACGTTTTTTAATTAAATTATTCAATTTTTGGTCTATATATTATTTCAATAATAATAATTATTCCATCTCAATTATAGATGACAACATCATAACCATGTCTCATGATCCCACCCTCCCGCATGGACGAAAAAGAAAGGAGATTCCTTAGAGCAGGAAGTTTATCATCAACTCATTCAGTGAATTATTTGCGTGCTATCTCTCTCTTTGAGGAAATTATATGATAGCTCTTAAGCAACGATTAGCGTTTTAGAAATACCGCAATTATTTGTAATGTTATTATTCTACTTTATTTTTTTCCGAAGGATTTACAAATGTCATAAAGAACTTTTTTTTTTTTAAGAATTAAAATTTTTTGAAAATACGATTATGATCCTTGCAAAATAATTAAATCTTCGAAAAAAGTAATTAAAACCAACTAATTATTGACAACTAATTTATAAAAATTATCAAAACTTATAACTTTTGAAAAATATGAACGTTTCAAGGCTAGTTGAAGAATATAAATTTTTAAGGTTAACAAAATTTTTGAAAAGAATTTATGGACTGGATTCGACACTTTTTGAAGGTTGCTACAATTGAGGAAACTCTTTTTTTTTTTTTAAGGTTACGTAAACCTTAAAAAAAAAATGGTTCCTCGATTGTAGTAGTTCTCATTTCTCTACTTTTACCTTATTTAGCTAAATTTATTATGTCTATTATTGCTGCGAGACTTATTTCATTTCTAATTTAAACTGAAAGTTTCCCCCTCAGAATCTAGCCAAGCTTTCTGTACTTATATATTATTTAGGTTTGAAAAACAAATTTAGTCCTAAAGTAATAATTTAGTTCATGAACTTTAACTTGTAACGATTTAGTCCCTGTACTTTTCCTAAAATAACAATTTAGTCCTGAACCTTAACTGGTAACTATTTAGTCCGAGTAATTTAAAATTTTGTAACAATTTAGTCCCTATCGTAAAATTTGTTATTAAAATTAAGTGTCAAATTTTATCATATAACAATTTAATTTTTCTAATTCATAAACATATTTGGTCCCTTTCTAATTCATAAACATATTTGGTCCCTCTTTAGTTTATCAATCTATACATGCAAGAAACTTAACAAAAAAAATTCACGATAAGGACTAAATTGTTACATGTTAAAGTTCAAGGTTAAATTGTTACCAATTTGAAAGTATAAGAACTAAATCGTTACAAACTAAAGTTTAGGAACTAAATTGTTACTTTAACAAAATTAAAGGGACTAAAAGTATTTTTTAACTTATTATTTAACAGTAGGTTTTGAGCCCTGAATCATCATATTTGTTCAGTAATGATTACAATCTTTTATTAGCATTTGTTTTATCTTCTATTTATCGTATCAGAGCTGCAAAAAAAGAAAAAGTTGATACGCTGATTTAATATTCCTCCTGTTTCTGACCTTCACCTTCAAGTCTTCAAGGCCAACGTTTCTTTAACATCCATCTATACTATACCATGGCTAAGCAAGAGACTTCCTTGATTGTACAGTCCTTTCATCAATCGTGCCAACCTTATTTCCCTCCAATTAAACTCCTCCAACTATTTGTTGTGGACATCACAAGTGTTGCCATTAATTAGAGCACTTGGATTGGAACACCATCTCATTGAGGAAACACTAGTAGATAGCTGGTGAAGCCAAAGATCAGGAAAGAGTAACAGTAGATAGCACGTGGATTAACAATGACGACCTCTTTGCTTTTTTATTTGCAACTTCTTTTCATTGTCTTTCTAATACTTTGTCCTGTAAAGAGCCTATTTGCAATCCACTTTGGTAGGATACCATGGCTAAGGAACTTAGGGCTGTACATCAGACTCACACATGAGATTTAGTATCGCTACCATCTAGAAAATGTACTATTGACTTTTGTCGGGTCTATAGGATTAAAACGAAATCTTATTGATCCATTGAACAATACAATACTTGATTTGTTGTTAAAGGCTACTCCCAGGAGAATGACATGGATTATAAGGAAATATTTGCTCCTGTTGCAAAAATGATGACGGTTCGCACTATGATTGCAGTGGCCTCTATTTTCGACCGATGAAGAATATATGAGATGGATGTCAAGAATGCGTTCTTAAATGGTAACCTTCATGAAGAAGCTTATATGAGTCATCCACCTGGTGTTGCCCACCGACCTGGTGAGTCTGTAGGCTTCACAAATCACTTTATGGGCTCAAACAAGCACCTCATGTTTGGTTTGAGAAGTTCTCCATAGTTATCTTTTTGCTTAGTTTTATCTCTAGTCATCATGATTACATATTCTTTGTCAAATGTACAAGTGCAGTACTTTGCTATCCTTGTATGTTGATGAAATGATCATTACTGATGATGATTGTGATGTAATAGAATCTTTAAATTATGAACTCTCTGGTTGTTTTGTTATGAAAAATTTGGGCATGCTGCGTTACTTTCTCGGCATTGTAGTTGCCTGTTCTCCGAAAGGTTATCTCTTATCTCAGTCTAACTATATAGCTGATTTGTTCGATCGTGTGCATCTCAATGGTAACAAGATTGTTGATACTGCTTTTGATCTCAATGCCCAATATTCTGCATCGGATGGTCTTCCTTTTCTTGATTATATTCCAGTTCATATCGTACTATTTTTTTGGGAGAGTTTGGTCTATCTTACCATGACTCATTCATACATTGTGCACGTTGTTCACGTGGTTAGTGATCAAGTTATCACTGCTCCTACTATGATTTATTGGACTGCTTTTCTTCGTATTCTCAACTATCTTTGAGGCACTCAGTTGAGGAGTTCTTTAATTCCTTCCACGTCCTCTTTAGACTGGGTGCTTACTTCGATGCTGATTGGGATGATGATCTTATTGATCGCAAGTCGACCATTGGTTTTTGTATTTTCCTTGGTGATTCACTTATTTTGTGGAAGAGTAAGAAATAGATATTCTTTCTCGGTCTTTTACAAAAGCTTAGTATCGTCCCATGACCTTAGCTACTTGTGAAATTGTTTGGTTATATTGGCTACTTGCGAATATGAGTGTTTATCTTCGTCATTCTACTTTGTTATAATGTGACAACCATAGTGTCATTCAGATTGTGTGCAATTAGTTTTTCATGGACGAACCAAGCATATTGAGATTGATTTCCATGTCACTCACCATCCAACATGGCATAATCACGTTATCTTTTGATCATTTTTCTCTACAAATTGTTTATATATTTACTAAGGCACAATCTGCTTTGCACTTTCGTTTTTTATCTGACAAACTCCTTAATTCTTATAAGCATAAATTATTACTATAATTATTATTAATAGTTCTTGAGGGTAGATTACTCTATCTCATCTCATCATTTAGTGTCAACCTATATCAACATCATTTTGATATTGGCATTGGTATTGACCTTGACATTGGCAACAACACGTTTATTTGCTAAATTGAACTCACAATTTAGTATTGTGGGTTTGAGAAGGGATTTTAGATTATATTATATTATTAGATAATTTTATTTGAATTATTATTAGATTATGTTATTTGAATTATGATATAATTTAGATTATAATATTTTATTTAGTATCGGGTTATATTAGTATAAATACGTTATTATGTTTAGAGATGGTAAAAATACCCGTGGGACCCGATCCATGCGGGTACCCGACCCGATCGGGTCGGGGATTCCCCGATTTGACCGAGGACGGGGTCAAATCGGGGATCCCAATCGGGTTCCTCGGCGGGGACGGGGATTGGTCCCCCCGCCCCGTCCCCGTCCCTGGCCCCATTTAATTTTTTATTATTTTTTCTAATTTTTTTATATAATAACATTAATATATATTAATTTTATAAATATTTTTTATTTTTTTTAAAATAAAAACTCAAACTAATATCCGATTTAGCAACTTTTTATACTAATAATAACAAAAATTAAATTAAAAAATTAAAAAAATATATTCCCCCAAAATTTCGGGGGAAGGGCGGGGATGGGGGAAAAATCCCCAGTGGGGCGGGGATGGGGATGGCCCCCGGCCCCGCCCCGCCCCGCCCCGTTACCATCCCTAATTATGTTTGTATCCAAAATTGACGAATTTAATGTAATCCAAGTTGTATTCTCTATATTATCTCACTCTTTCCCTAAAATTAACACCCTTGAAATCATGTTACTAGGAAGAACTATCGAGGATGTGCTAGCTTTACTTGAGGAACGTACAATACAAAATGAACGGAGTTTTGTACAAAGAAAATTAATCTGCAGTGTACATTTTTCATTCACCTACAAAAGAATCAAAACCTATGTTTTTAAATGACTTTTCACGTGGGTTGTGTTAAAGATCTGACAAGATATGTGACCTGCATGAGCATGTGTTGCAAGGGTCATAGCATTCAGACGCTAGGGACTATTAATATTCATGGGATTCCATCTCAAAACCAATTGGCTATGAGAGGAGTAGCTCATATCTATTATAAACCTTTATTAGGTCTCTTATCTTTTCAATGTGAGATCCTTAATATTATTAATATTCATGGGTTCAATCTTAAAACCAATTGTAAATGAGAGGAGTAATCCATGTCTATTATAAACCTTTGTAAGGTCCATTTTCTTTTTAATGTAAGATCCTTAACACGCCCCCTCAAGATCATGGCTCTTTTGACTCATCGATTTTGACTAGAAACTATTTTGGACTAGTTACTCGTTGAGCGTTTTGGGCTCTAATACCATATTAATATTCATGAGGTTCTATCTGAAAACCAATTGGTAATGAGAGAGGTGACTACCCACTTATATTATAAACCATTGTTAGGTCCCTTATCTTATCAACGTTGGATCTTTAACAGGCCCCTCAAGATCGTGGCTCTTTTGGCTCATTATTCTTGGCCGGATCTCATTTTTGGACCGGATGCTCGTTTGAGCTTTTTGGGCTTTGATATTATATTAATATTCATGGGGTTCCATCTCAAAATCAACTAGCGATGAAAGGAGTAGTTCATGTGTCTATTATAGACCTTTGAAAGGTCTCTTTTCTTTTTAATGTGGGATCCTTAACACGGATAGTGTCTCAACGTAATGCTGTTGCAAAGAAGACACGTTTGTTGAGGTCACATCTATAGCATTGAGACGCTATGGATATCATCTCAATGCTGTAGCGATGAGTTATATATACTCATCGTTTTGTTAGGGTTTCAATCAACCGAAATTATCAGAGTATTATGGCAATTTGAGGCAGTGGCTCAAGGGTGTTGGCAGAAAAAGGATAGATCGAGATAACTGTGTTTGAGGTAATTAGTTCTCGTTTATTTTGTAAGTTTTTCATTCCTATACTAAGAATAGTGTTTAGAATACTTAGAAGCTAGATGGCTTTTATTGGGATCTCTAGAGGGTGAGTATCTGAGGGAGATATTTGAGTGCTTGTATCGAATTCTTGTATTAGTGGAACCCGCATCTAAGCGAAAGACTGTACGTAGCCATTGTTGGGCAAACCAGTATAATTCTGTTGTGTAATTTCTGCTTTCCCTTAATCTCTTATTATTTTTGGGATTGCGTTTGTTTTTGTAGAATAACTGCGGGAGGGAGAATTGTGTAGAGCGTTAATTTCCCAACACAAACAAACAAGAAAAATTGCCAACAGTAATTTACTAAGAAGCATAAAAGGAATGTTGATATTGAGATGATATGGGATACTTATAGAATGAGATAGCAAGCTGACCAAGTCTGCAGTACATAGCAAAGCAAGTGAATTAAATCATGATGGAGCGAGACTTCTTCTTGGTTGCACATTGAGTGAATCAATTCTTAAAAATTGGTGAAAATCTGGCTATGAGTGGAGTGAATAATTTTTGCCTTGAATAGTGGTGTATTATTGCCATTATTGGAACGATAATATAATGCAAGTGAATTAATATGATCTGTTATAGATAACGGTACCCCAAGTACCCACGAGTATCTCCACAACATGGTATGATATTGTTCGTTTGAGGAATAATCCTTACAATTTTACTTTTGCTTTCACCCAAAAGGCTTCCTACCATTGAGATAATTGTCCTAATCTATATATGGATCACTCTCAGAACATTGTTTACACATTTTGCAACCCAACAATCCTCCCCTCGAACAAAGCGCCACTTGTATCTTGTCTCGAATTATTCGATTTTGAGATCCATCTACAAGTTCTATAATGACTAGGGTTACCAATCACTCTTGTTCGGCCCTCGAGAATTTCTCCTACACAACTAGGTTTTTTTACCATGGCTCTAGACTTTGCTTTTGGTTTCACCTAAAATGTCTCATACCAATGAAGATAATTGTTCTCATCTATATACCATGGATCACTCTCTTCCCTAACAAATGTGGGACTTTGTTTGTGCAATTTGCAATTCCAACATTTTAAGGACTAGTCTTAAGAATATAAACAAATGGTTAAATGTATCGAAATCTATTTTAATATAAATCCAAATTAAAATAATATATCATTTTTAAATCATTAATTGAAAATTATTTTTGAATTCAAATTTTTAATTTTAATATTAAGTAAGTCAAAAATTATTTTTTATTTTATTTTACTGAAAATTATATATTTTTGATAAGTTAGAAGTTTGAGTTTAATTTCTATTTTATTCTTAAATTTTCAAAAGAAGTGATTGTCCATGGAAGAGATAGAGGAAGAAGAGAAGAATAATGAAGAGAAGTGAAGAAAGAGAAATAAGAGAATGGTAAAAGGGAGAAGTGTTAAGGAAAAGGGAAGGGACCTAACAATGGTTTATAAAAGATATGGACTACTCCCCTCATTGCCAATTGATTTTGAGATGGAATCCAGGAATCTTAATAAGAAAGAAGAAGAAGGCAAAGGAGGGAAAGTATTTTATTAATTAAAATATTAAAGAGAAATGAAGGAGAAAAAAAAAGTAACCCATAGTTTGAACAATATACTTGGTTTTGGAATTTTGTGGTCCATGCTTACCTAAATCTATATCCCAGAAAAGGGCGAGCTTTGGAAGCCAAACGCATACTAAAGTTCATATGTTGTCCTAAATATTGTCTTCAACAAGGCACAGAGTCGATAAGTAGATACTTGATAAGAAATTTTGTTTCAGACTTGGCATTGGTGTATCCATCTTCATCTAAATAGAGTTGGTGCGTAACTCTTGAAAAATTCAGTACACGCATTAGAATGGGCATTGGAACAACTATTGAATGAAGACATGCTTATGTCCTTCCATGCATCATTAACTTTTGCTTATAAATTTCAGCACAAGCCTTTCCCTCTGAGTAACCATATTGCTCTATGTAACATTCAACACTAGAAACAAAGTGATCCCTTTCTCGCTCAAATTGAAAAAACAAAATACTAACTAAATATGATAGCTGAGGAGAAAGTTTCAAATCTGTGTTGTTTTGTAAGCCCTATTCTTAAGAATATAAATAAATGATTAAATAAGTTAGTAAATTTCRATATATTTAATCATTTATTTATATTTTTGAYGACTAGTATCCAATATATACCTTGTGGAAAGCCATATCGTGCATGAGTCTTCAAAGGGTTTTTGAGTCGGGCCATTCAAGTACCTCATTTATCACTATGTCACCGAGGAAATGGATATAAGCAAAGTATAGCATGTGGTACTCAATGGCAATGCCATGTAGTCCTTAAAATTTGGTCTATACTTTTGGTTTAACCATTRGCTTCTTGAAAGTAGGATTCAACTGGCCTTTTTATCTGTTAGAGAATTTATAAGAAAAAAGAAATGAGAACCCTTTTATAAGTATAAGAAGGAGAAGGAGAAAAAAAGAA